TATTGGCGGTGAAGCTGCAGCTCAACAATCTTGGTCATGGGCTGTTTCTATTCGTTCTAATGGAGATCACTTTTGTGGAAGATCAATTCTTTCACCATCATTCATTATTACTGCTGCTCATTGTTTTAATGATGAAACTGACTTTAAAAAAATATCCCTATTCTTATTGGATCTCTAAATTTAAAACTGTCATCAACTGATTCACCTCAAATTCCTTCCATTGCTCGACTTTACAAACATTCTGGTTATAACAGATTTACGTACCAAAACGACTTGACTCTTATTCGCTCGTCTAGTCCATTAAATATGAAACATGGAAATATTAATCCCATCTGTTTACTATCTGGTACTTTTCCTCAACCAGCAGACAATATTAGTATGATCGCTGTAGGTTGGGGTACAAGATCAATGTCGTCAATGATACCTTCTTCAATTCTTCAGCAAATTACAGTGAAATCCGTACCAAGTACATATAGTGGATGGCAAAAATTTGTTTCTGATAGTAGACTACAATTTTGTGCTGGAATAATAACTGGTGGCAAAGGTAATGCATCAATATTAAACTTATTCACTTATGTTAATAATTTTTTCTGCCTACAGATACTTGTCAAGGTGATAGTGGCGGACCATTAATGGCATTTGTTAATAAGGCTTGGCAACCTCATGGTATCACATCCAATGGAAATGGATGTGCATTGTCTAGCAATCCAGGAATCTACACTCGAGTTAGTTATTACATAAAATGGATTGCATCTATCGTGTCATCCAACGAGATTACGACAACTACGATTATTTCAATAATGAGATCAACGGCAAATATGACTACGGCAAAAAGAAACAATAATAAGAACTACGACTTGCATGAGCAAACATGAAATGATGGCTAATATGGCAAAATTAGTGTTTCAGACATGAAATAACGGTAAACATTGAACAATTCAATCGCTTTTTTATAGTTTTTGTTTACATCATATAACCAGTATATATTCATTTATTTTGTTATTTCTTCTGTAAGTCTTTTATTGTAATAGTATTTATTGAACAATACAGTATGACAATCTGACATAAACATATATGATGAAATAACTCACATTCGTTATCTCATCAAGAACAAATACCAAAGAATAATTAAATGGTTTCAACTTTTCACCTGAAGATTTTTCTTTAAGGAGAAAAAGTACATTACTTTATCATAGAGAATGTGATAGAGTTAATGGAGACGTATAGCACATAGATAAATTGCAAATTCTATCATTTGAATTATCAAAAACTTGTTTTGAAGAAAATTCGCTCGTACTTCTCATTACATAAGTTTTTTTTTATGAACAATTATTTATAATCCAACATATGCTATTCTATTCTGTTTTTATTTTGATTTGCGATATAGCATAACTTCCTCATGGTTAAAATAATTGAATATCAGCGTACATTCAATAACTTGTGTTACATAAAAGAACGTGGAAATTGTCTTGATGTTTTTGTAGAAATGACTCATAACTCACTCAATTCATGTTAGATAAATTAATTTTCTATATTTAAAACAAATATCATCTGACAATCAAGCCGACTTATACTCTTATTTCGTATTAATAGAACATGCTACGGATACATATGTTGACATAGAAAAAGCTCAAGCCTTCTTTCCAATGTTTATCAAGTTTTGCTACGTTCATATAACATATGTCGGTAGTAGACATGCATTGGAAATCAAGACTGTTCCAGCTCGGTCTTGAGTTTAGTCTTTTGTAATTAACAAATCAAATGGATTATAAGTAAGCTAAAAGAAAGAATTTCAGGATTTGCTAATCGTAGATCTACATACAGTAAAATAATTCAGTGCATGTCCAGTCGGTAGCGTATCATATTGATAAGAATTCCCATGTCGTAAAAATCGCTGAAAAATTACTGATTAATCGCGATACATCGAAACGATAATCGGGTGCGGGTGTGTGGGTGAGGGTGTGGTGTGGGTGTGTGTGGGTGTGTGGGTGAGGGTGTGGGTGTGTGGGTGAGGGTGGGTGTGTGTAAGGTGTGAGTGTGTGGGTATGGGTGTCGGTGGGTGTAAGATGTGATTGTGAGTCTCTATTTCTGAAAATCGTCACCAGCA